CTGGTCTACCTCCTGACCTAACGTCCTCCTTCTAGTTCTGCCTCTCTCTAACCACCACTAACCTGACAGCTACACATCTTCTGTCATTTCACAATAAAATTTAAAATATTAACATGCTTCCTTGTACCTTTAATGTGCCATAAAGCCAATTTCTGAGGGGAGCCCCATTGGCTCCCTGAAGCTATCCAAACTGATACGTTCTATATTAGTTTGGGATCATTAGTTACGGGAGTTCTGTGCCTACGGGGGACCACGAGCCAGAACCTGGCTCCATCAGAGAGGCGCAGAGAGCAACGGCATATAAGCACTGTACATTTAGAGTATGTTATGTCTGCCATCTATCGGGAAAAGCACCCATAAAGGTAGGTGAAACAATACAAACCCTCTACTGGTGAAATGTGCAACCTACGTCTGAACAGGCCAAGAATTCCCCTCAAAAACAAACAAACAAGCAAATCGTCAGCCAACTTGCGCGCTCTCTCGTTAACGCTTCCCTCCCAGAAAGGGGAAGGGGAAGCCTTCACGGGTGAGCGGCGACTCACCCCTTCAGTTCTTGACTGATGGTTTTCGGGATCAGACGTTACCTCTGGCCTCGCATTCCTGTCAGGATTTTAGCCCTTTGTGGCTGTGCCATCTGTGTGGGGGTTGTCGTCGTAGCCAGAAGTTCTTCTGTATGCAGGGCTGCATGTGTCTAGAGCTCGCTTCCCTAGGTACTTTGTAAGTACAGTACTACATTTTGTGTTGACCAGACCACACACTAGAAGTTGAAGGGACGACGACGTTTCGGTCCATCCTGGACCATTCTTAAGTCGATTCTGGTCAACTTACTTCAGCCACGTTATTGTGACTCATCGCCTGTGTGACACTCATTTGGTGTCTGGGTTCTCTTCTCTGGGGGTGTTCGGGACTCACTCCTGTTGAGGTCTCCGTCGCTTGGCGTTAAGTTTTGCCCTTGGGGTTGGTATCCTTTGGTTCCGTCAAGCCCTGGGTAGAGTGATTGTTGCTGGGTGGGGCACACTGTGGTCGGCACAGCCTGCACACACCACCAAGGGCGCTGGTGGCTGAGTGGACAGCACGCTGGATACGTAGTCCTGTGGTCTGGGGTTTGATTCCCCATGCCAGTGGAAACAAAAATGGGCAGAGTTTCTTTCACCCTGATGGCCCTGTTACCTAGCAATAAATAGGTACCTGGGAATTAGACAACTGTTATGGGCTGCTTCCTGTAATTACCTAAGTGTAATTACCTAAGTGTAGTTACAGGATGAGAGCTACGCTCGTGGTGTCCCGTCTTCCCAGCACTCTTTGTCATATAACGCTTTGAAACTACTGACGGTCTTGGCCTCCACCACCTTCTCACTTAACTTGTTCCAACCGTCTACCACTCTATTTGCGAAGGTGAATTTTCTTATATTTCTTTGGCATCTGTGTTTAGCTAGTTTAAATCTATGACCTCTTGTTCTTGAAATTCCAGGTCTCAGGAAGTCTTCCCTGTCGATTTTATCAATTCCTGTTACTATTTTGTATGTAGTGATCATATCACCTCTTTTTCTTCTGTCTTCTAGTTTTGGCATATTTAATGCTTCTAACCTCTCCTCGTAGCTCTTGCCCTTCAGTTCTGGGAGCCACTTAGTAGCATGTCTTTGCACCTTTTCCAGTTTTTTGATGTGCTTCTTAAGATATGGGCACCACACAACAGCTGCATATTCTAGCTTTGGCCTAACAAAAGTCATGAACAATTTCTTTAGTATATCGCCATCCATGTATTTAAATGCAATTCTGAAGTTAGAAAGCATAGCATAGGCTCCTTGCACAATATTCTTTATGTGGTCCTCAGGTGATAGTTTTCTATCTAGAACCACTCCTAGATCTCTTTCTTTATCAGAATTCTTTAAAGATTTCTCACATAATATATAGGTTGTGTGGGGTCTATGTTCTCCTATTCCACATTCCATAACATGACATTTATTAACATTAAATTCCATTTGCCAAGTGGTGCTCCATATACTTATTTTGTCCAGGTCTTTTTGAAGGGCATGACAGTCATCTAAATTTCTTATCCTTCCTATTATCTTAGCATCATCAGCAAACATGTTCATATAATTCTGTATACCAACTGGTAGATCATTTATGTACACAATAAACATCACTGGTGCAAGAACTGAACCCTGTGGTACTCCACTTGTGACATTTCTCCATTCTGATACATTGCCTCTGATTACTGCCCTCATTTTTCTATCAGTCAGAAAATTTTTCATCCATGATAGAAGCTTACCTGTCACCCCTCCAATATTTTCCAGTTTCCAGAATAACCTCTTATGTGGAACTCTGTCGAAAGCCTTTTTTAGGTCCAGATAGATGCAGTCAACCCAACCATCTCTTTCCTGTAATATCTCTGTGGCTCGATCATAGAAACTGAGTAAATTCGATACACAGGATCTTCCAGATCGAAAACCATACTGTCTGTCTGATATTATATCATTTCTCTCTAGGTGTTCTACCCCATTTAGTTTTGATTAGTTTTTCCAATACTTTCACTATTACACTTGTCAATGATACAGGTCTATAATTGAGGGGGTCTTCCCTGCTGCCACTTTTGTAGATTGGAACTATGTTAGCCTGTTTCCACCCGTCTGCTACGATTCCTGTACACAGGGATGCCTGAAAGATCAGGTGAAGTGGAATGCTGAGCTCAGATGCACATTCTCTCAGAACCCATGGTGAAACGCCATCTGGGCCAGCTGCTTTGTTCTTACCGAGCTCCTTGAGCATTTTTTCCACTTCGTCTCTAGACACCTCTATGTGTTCTATGTTGTTCTCTGGAATTCTTATTGTATCTGGTTCCCTAAAGATTTCATTTTGTACAAACACACTTTGGAACTTTTCGTTTAGTGTTTCACACATTTCCTTTTCATCTTCCGTGAATCTATTTCCCATTTTCAACCTCTGAATATTACTGTGTGTGTGTGTGTGTGTGTGTGTGTGTGTGTGTGTGTGTGTGTGTGTGGGATGGGGGGGGGGGAGGGGAATTAGTTAGTAACAGTTGATTGATTGACAGTTGAGAGGCGGGCCGAAAGAGCAGAGCTCATCCCCTGCAAGCACAACTAGGTGAATACACACGCGGCGGCTGAGTTTCTCTCTGACTGCCAGTTTGTTTGCTTTGCTTTTATTCTTGCCCTTTCTTCTGGAGGAGGGATGCCTAACTTCCCATTAGGTCCGCCTAGGTAGTGTTTGGTAGCCTTCCTCTGGTGCCCTCGAGGTTTCATGACCTCTCCTGGTAGTCAGTTTGCCTGGTATTAGACAGGGTTCAACTGGCTTGGCTAGCTCAGTGCCTGGGTTACCCATAGGGATTACCCCCCCCCCCCCACCATGCGGGCCCTGGAAAACCCATCAGGGCTCGGGGTGACAATGAGTGAGTCTTCTGAGTCCTCTCTCACCTTGTGCGAGTTTGAAGGCTGTTCATTGCCCCTGTCTCAGGGTGACAATCATCTGTGCTGCCTCCGTCATGCTGCCTGTTGGGTCAGTGACACCTTCGACTCGGAGTCTTGCGGGATTTGTCCTCCGCTTGTGCTCCAGTTTACCCATTCTTTGCCTGAAGATCTTAGGGGGGTCAGGCGGTAGCTGCGTTGCATGTTTGGTTTTCTCTGTTGCAACGCGTCAGGTTGGCTGCCCAGTTGGAATTCCCAGACCTGTCCCGTTGGGGTTTTAGGAACCAGGATTTGGGGGAGTGTCAGTCGTTTCGACTTTGGTTTTGTCTGTGCCCCCGCTTCCTTCTCAGGTGGGTGTAGTTCGCCCTGTTCCTTGCCACCTGCTCCGGGCTCCCAAACGTCTGATGGTTTTGGAGTAGGGGCGGGGGTTTTGCTTGGGTGGCTTTGGGGAATGCCCCTTCCGATTTGGGTACAGAGATAGTTGAGCCCGACTTTCTCCCTGAGGCTTCTGAGTCGAGCTGGCAGACCCCCTTCTTTGAAGCTTTTTCCCTGGTCTCCTCCTTTTCTTCAGGAGTGGTGAACGTCGATAATAGTTGGCGGAAGTTCCACCCGGTTTCGTCCCGGGGGGGTTGGGGGCAGCCTGCTCCTTCTTTTCTGGTGAAGAATGAGACTGCAGTCTTCCGGAGGGATCCGTTGGTTGTGGATGCTTGGTTTTTTAGGCAAGGGGGTGTATATGTGCTGTGTCTGCGGGGGTGTATATGTGCTGTGTCTGCGGGGGTGTATATGTGCTGTGTCTGCGGGGGTGGCTTTATGCTGCTTCCTGTGGGTTCTGTCAGTGGCTGCGCTCTGGGTTGCTCACGTTTTCCTTGTTCTCAGATCCAGGGCTCGTGGGTCTCGAGTGGTCTAGCCGGCCTGCAGTCTACCCTCGTGTGCATGATGTTCGGATGTATGCCGCTCATTTGACTGTTTTTAATTATTTTCTACCACAGGTGTGGCCACACATTTACAATGCTAACCCGCATATATACATTTTCTTCTGTCCTTTATGGACAGGGTTAGAGATCTGTTAACACACAAGTAGTATGACACTTTATTAGTAAGATAGCTTCAGGAAGACTCCTGGGCTCAACCAGAAACTGGTGTTTCATTACATTCAAAGCTGTTTTATGTGTAATTCTTTATATTAAAAAATAAGTTACTGTATTTGTATGCAAAATTAGAAAGAATGCCAAAATATATATTGTACAGTGAAGATGATTGTTGGCCTAGGTAAATATGTCCATAATTATTTGTTGATAGGGGACATGGAGACAAAGTCCATTTGATTCCAAATTTTGTATGGCCTCCCATGAGTTCTTGCAGACATCATTAAACTATTGGAACCATATGGGAAACCATATTTTTGTCTGGACCTATATTGCCATATTGCTATATAATATTTTAAAAACATTTTTGTATTCTATCTTGTATTCATGTTTATGCACATTGACACGTACATTTTCAAGTTCAATTACAGTTTTTGTTTTGTTATAATATTACTATATTTGCTTCAATTCAAACTGTTCTTGCCTCAAGAGTCGAGTGCTAGCCACTATTGGAGTGACCAGAGGGTTTGGGGACCATGACCTGAAGGCTCAGTGTTCCTCTGTACCCATCAAACCATTCCTTACTCCTGAACCTGAGGTAAGCTAAGTGTGGTCTTTGTTGCTGTTAAAATATCAGTAGTACATGTGACAAATGTTGATGGGTTTTACTTGCGAAAATATATTACTCAAGCATTTTTTGTTTCATAAACTGCAGTAAAAAAATAATTATTTTTTTTCCCCTTTACATTTCTGTACTTTAGCAAAAATGCTTAAAATTTGAGGAATCTTATTTTATATTCTGCTCATACTGTTTTAGAACTTGAAGTTCCTTGACTTGCCTCCATACTATTGGAGGTAAGTCAGCAACCTGTTCCCAGAACCCCACATCAAAAGGATATCATCAGCGGCATATGCTAGATTGGCCAACATAAGAACTGCCTTTAGAAACTTGTGTAAGGAATCGTTCAGGCCCTTGTATACCACTTATGTCAGACCAATCCTGTAGTATGCAGCTCCAGCCTGGAGTCCATACCTAGTTAAACACAAGACAAAGTTTGAGAAGATTCAGAGGTATGCCACCAGACTAGTCCCAGAATTGAGAGGTATGAGCTACTAGAAAAGGCTACGGGAGCTTAACCTCTCATCCTTGGAAGCCAGATGAGTTATCACCACCTAGAAAATTCTCAGGGAAATTGACATGTTTTACAAAAACAAACTATTTAGCATAGGTTCAACATAAACAAGGGGATACAGGTGGAAATTTAGTACCCAAATGAGCCACAGGGACATTAGAAAGAATTTTTTTAGTGTCAGGTTATTTAACAAATGGAATGCATTAGGCAGTGATGTGGTTGAGGCAGACTCCATACACAGTTTCAAATGTCGATTTGATAGAGCCCAATAGGCTCCAGAATCTGTACTCTCAGGGTTTTGGAGGTCGAACAGGGTCTTGGTAGCCAGATATCTCGTGAACATCCCTGGTCCTCATTGGCCTTGTGTTGCCTTGGGTTGTAATTACCTAAGTGTAGTTACAGGATGAGAGCTATGCTCGTGGTGTCCCATTTTCCCTGTACTGTCATATAACGCTTTGAAACTACTGACGATTTTGGCCTCCACCACCTTCTCACTTAGTTCGTTCCAACTGTCTCCCACTATGTTTGCAAAAGAAAACTTTCTAATATTTTTTCTGTTGAAGTCCTTCTGTACTGTTAAAGTCCAAGTCGGTTGGCTCCCATAAAGATCTCCTTGGTTATTGATGCTTGGTTAGTTCTGCTTGAAATGAATCTTGTGTGGTGTTCGGTAGCATTTTTTTGGCTGCTTCCTTAGTGCTGCTGGTTCTGCCTAGGTGACCTTGTTGGTTGTCCTGTTGCTTTGTTTCCAAGTTCCGGGGCTCTCTGGTTGTCTGCAGTGTCATTCAGTGTTCCCAGCATATGGTCTTCCCTCACACCCTTGCTGTTGGGTTCTTTGACGCTTCTCGGTTGACTTTGTGACTGTCTATTGAGCTGTTCTTCAAGCACGGGGTTTTTGGGGTTCATACGGAGTTCTAGCAGCTTGGCCTCTTTTTGCTATGTCCATGTCCCGATACCCTTGTGTAACTTTAGGTGGTGTGTCTTGTGGGTTTCGCAGGGTTGTTCTGTCTTTAACGACCTGTAGGTTGTCCTTGTGCCCGTAGTGTTCGCATTTGTGGTTCTTGTGTGGCTGTCCTGATATCTGTCCGAGGCTGCATTTTGGGCAAGGGTGTTTTGGGGTCAGCTTGTGATTTGGTGGCTTGGTGTCTTCACTGTGTAAGGCCCCTGGCACACTTGTTTGGTTTTGGGGGTCATGTTTTGTGAACTTGTGTTTTGCTTTCTGAGGAGCTCTGTCATCCTTGCTTGGTGCCCTCTTTGTTCCTTCACTGTGGGGTAGATAGCTTGAGGGAGCCACAACATACCTAGAGAGGGTTCTAAGATCTTGGTGCCCTCTTTGTTCCTTCACTGTGGGGTAGATAGCTTCAGGGAGCCACAACATACCTAGAGAGGGTTCTAAGAGCTTGGTGCCCTCTTTGTTCCTTCACTGTGGGGTAGATAGCTTCAGGGAGCCACAACATACCTAGAGAGGGTTCTAAGAGCTTGGTGCCCTCTTTGTTCCTTCACTGTGGGGTAGATAGCTTCAGGGAGCCACAACATACCTAGAGAGGGTTCTAAGAGCTTGGTGCCCTCTTTGTTCCTTCACTGTGGGGTAGATAGCTTCAGGGAGCCACAACATACCTAGAGAGGGTTCTAAGATCTTGGTGCCCTCTTTGTTCCTTCACTGTGGGGTAGATAGCTTCAGGGAGCCACAACATACCTAGAGAGGGTTCTAAGAGTTCTTCTACTCCCCGAGCCCAGCCTGAGGCCAGGCTTGACTTGGGATAATTACTCCAGAAAACAAGCTTTGAGTGTAATGAAACACCAATTTCTGGCCAAGCCCCAGTGGCTCCCTAACACTCCTCCCTCCATCCAGGGAGGAAGGGTGGTTCCATTCTCATAGAACTTAGGCTGGAGCAGCTGACTGACCTCTGGCTGCCTCAAGCTTCCCCCCCCCCCTCCAAACGAGGGAATGTGGGGTGAATAAGCTGGCGCTAGTTTCATTAATTTTCTGCCATTTGTTTACGTAGTTTGACGAGTTTTTTGGCAGTTCTTGAACTGTTTATAACCATCAGTGGTCTATTTTGTTTCGCTGACATTATAGGTGTTTTTTTCGGTGATGGCAAATATTAATAAATTCATCAGAATTTTATTATAAGTGCCACTGCTCTCTGCACCTCTTTGAGGGGGGGGCCAAGGTGCTGACGTTGGTAGGCCATCAGAACTTGGCAACTGATGGGACCTTGTAGTGTGACACTATATCAGATATAATAGTTTCAGGGAGCATTTAATTACGTTCAATACTACTTTTTTGGTTATGGTGATCTAGTATTCCCTGCTCCTTGCAGGATTTAGCCTCTTGTTCACACTAGACTTCCTCTTGTTCACACTAGACTTACTATGACTTACAAGGGTATTTTATGTATTGAACTGGGGTCAAATATTTAGGTAGATGGCACAAGGTCCACCAAAGACCCGGCAGAAAAAGGCATTTTATTACTTTCAGTGCTTTTTTTTTCTTTTAGAGCCACTTTTAGTGGATGTTCTGTAGTTCATTAATATATGTGTAGTATTAAATATTCATATTAAGCAGCATATAAAAGTTAATGTATATATAAAGTACACAATCTTGTTTCAGGTGAGAATATTTGATTTGGCATCAGCAGAGCTGACTGATGGAGACGTGTTGATTCTGGCTACTGATGGTCTTTGGGACATCACATCTAATGAAAAGGCAGTATCAGTGGTGGCTAAGTCACTCCTGCATTTCCCTGCTCAAGAACATGATAAATACAAATACAGGTAATTTAATATTTTTGTATGTTTGATGCTTCATTTAGCTGCAATATTGTTGGCAATTATTTACTTACCTGTTCATAAGTCCTTATTGCACCAGAGACATTGATGTTGTAATGCCGCACCAATACCAACAGTTGGAGATTCATATGTGCTTCATCCATACATCCATTTACATCATTTATTGAAAATGTATTGATATTCTTTAAAATAATTTATAACAATAAAACAGATGATAATCATGATTTGATTACAAAATAAACACACAATAAATTACACCTTCCATCCATACACACTAATTTATGAGCAAGACGGTGGTGGTAGTACATATTTGTCAATCAATCTTTCCCTCCAGTGTGTCATAGAAAGAGAGGGTGGGTGTGCATGTGTTGCAGTGTGTACTCACCTATTTGTACTTACCTATTTGTGCTTGCAGGATTGAGCATTGGCTCTTGGATCCCACCTTTCTAGCTGCCAGCTGTTTACAGCAGTGACTCCTGTCCCTTTTCCCTATCGTATCTAGTTTTAAAACTATGAATAGTGTTTGCTTCCACAACCTGCTCCTCACGTTCATTCCATTTTCCCACTACTCCATGCTAAAGGAAAACTTCCAAACATCTCTGACTCATCTGAGTTTCCAGCTTCCACCCATGTCCCCTTGTTCTGTTAGTATTCAGTGTGAACATTTCATCCATTTCCACTCTGTCAATCCCCCTAAGTATTTTATGTTTCTATCATATCTCCCCACTTCCTCCTTTTTTCTAGTGTCGTCAGGTTCAGTTCCTTCAGTTGTTTTTCTTACCCCATTCCTTGCAATTCTGGGACAAGCCTCATTGCAAACTTCTGAGCCTTTTCCAGTTTCGTTTTGTGGTTTTTCAGGTGGGGGCTCCATGATGGGCCAGCATACTCTAAGACTGGTCTCATGTAGGCAGTGTAAAGCGCCCTAAATGCCTCCTTAGGTTTCAGAATGATGATCTGACTTTTGCCAGTGTAGAATACGCTGCTGTCATTATCCTATTTATATGTGCCTCAGGAGTTAGATTAGGTGTTACGTCCACTCACAGGTCTCTTTCTTGAATCATCACAGGTAGGTAGTTTCCCTTCATTGTGCACTGTCCCTTTGGTCTCCTGTCACCTAATACCATTTCCATAACTTTACATTTGCTCATGTTGAACTCCAGTAGCCATTTCTCTGACCATCTCTGCAACCTGTTCAAGTCCTCTTGGAAGATCCTACAGTCCTCATCTGTCACAACTCTTCTCATTAATTTTGTATCGTCTGCGAACATCAACATATAGGACTCTACCCCTATAGACATGTTGTTTACGTATACAGTGGAACTTCGGGGTACAAACGTCCCTCTTTACAAATTTTTCGGGTTACGAGCTCAATTTCTTCGTAAAACTTGAATCGAGTTACGAGCTTTGCCTTGTCTTGTGTAGTTTGTTGATACATGTGTGGGTTGACCGAGTGCATGGTTCCTGGTGGCTTGGTATATTGTATTTGGGAGGACAACAGGATGTATGGTGGGGAGGACTGGATGGATGATGAGGGGGACTGGATGGATGGATGAATTGTGAGGAGAACTGGATGGATGGATTGTGAGAACTGGATGGATGGATGGTGGGGAGAACTGGATGGATGGATGGTGGGGGGACTGGATGAATGGCAGGTGATTGGGATGGGGAGGCTGGGGGGGGGTGGAATACGAGAAAGAAAATCTTTCAGATATCTTTCACCAGCCCTAGAGTCATGTAAAGGAAGAACACATGGAGGGTCTGTGGGTGGGCAGGTGAGAGCGAATGGTGGATGAGTAGCAGGGCGGGCGGCAACGTGGATGGATAGACAGGCAGCAGTGGTTGGGCAGGTGTCAGTGTGTGCAGGCAGGCAGTAGTGAGATGGTTGGCAGAGTGGGTGGGTGTGCAGGCAGCAGAATGAGCAGATGGTAGACTAAGGAGGTGGATGGTAGATGGAAGACTGAGTGGGTGGGTGGTTGATGGTAGACTAAGGGGGTGGGTGACAGGGAGGGCACAGAGCAGGTGGGTAGCAGGGTGGTCAGGAGGTAGTGGGTGGGCAGATGAGTAGCAGGACGGGTGGCAGAGTGGGTGGGTAGCAGAGGTGGTGGCGTGAGTGGCCGAGCTTCCGACTAGGACTAACACAGGAGCTGGTCACCCCCAGTCTCTTCCCAAGACCCCTTCCCCCCCTTTTTGCACACTGGACCCTCCACATTACCTCCATCCCCATCATCTTGCACCCTCCTCGCTACCTCCATCCCCTCATTCCCCACACCGGACTCCCCCCAGCTGTACCCCTCTCAGCCATATGGACAGTATTAGTATGGTGGGCTTCCTTCCTACCAGCTGTGTGATCGGGGAGCAGACTCCCTGAGCGCCTGTCATTAAACTCTTTTTGTTTACTGACTGACTTGGAATGCCTGATTGACTGGGAATGCCTGATTGACTGGGAATGCCTGGTTGACTGTGAATGCATGACCGACCATAAATGCCTAACCGTTTGCTACCACAACTGTGAATGCTTGACTGTCTTTGGTTATGACTGCCTATGCCTAACCTTGACTGTGAATGCATGACTGACATGTTGTGACTGACTGGTTCGGACTGGCTGCCACATAACAGAGGCAGTGAAATGTGTGAAAGGAAAATCTGGAATCAGTGAAGCAGACATGAAAGTGTTTAAGACGAGCAGGGGACGGTCTCACCTCCTCTTCTCCTCCTCCTCACCCTCCCCATACACCAACACCGCTCCTCTCTCCCTCCTCACCATCTCCCACATGTCAACAAGAGTCCTCAGTAAAAGTAAAGTGCAGTTAAATGTTCACTTTTTCATTTATGGTTTATATTTATACCTGATTGTTTTGTGTATGAAAAATATGAATAGTATTCTGTATAAAATATATTTTTAAGTTAATATTTTTTTGGTGTGTGGAATGGATTAATTAAATTTACATTACAGTATGGGAAAATGGGAAAATTTGTTTCAGTTTATGAACTGTCTCTGGGAGTGGATTAAATTTGAAAACCAAAGTATCACTGTATTAGAAATATAACTGGTCTCAGCACCGATCCTTCAAGTACTCCACCTGTTACTGTTCGTCAGTCCGACTTCTTGTCCCTTACCGTTACTCTCTGGCTCCCTCCTGTTAGGTAGTTCCTTACCCATGATAGAGCTTTTCCACTTACTTCCACTTGCCTCTCAAGTTTCAGTAACAGTCTCCTGTGTGGTACTGTATCAAAGGCATTTTGGCAGTTCAGAAATATGCAGTCTGACCATCCTTCCCCTGTCCTGCCTTATTCTTGTTACTTTATCATAGAATTCCAGAAGGTTTGTTAGGCATGATTTCCCTTCTCTGTTGGTGTTTGTTTACATACCTAATTTTCTCTAGGTGTGTTACCAATCTCAACTTGATTATTCTTTCAAGTACTTTGCAGGGGATACTTGTTAGTGATACTGGTCTGTAGTTAAGTGCCTCTTCCCTATCTCCTTTCTGGAAAATTGGTATCACATTTTCCTTCTTCCAGCAACTGGTCAATTCTCCTTTCATAAGTGACTCATTAAAGATACTTGCTAGAGACATGCTGAGGGCCTGCGCTGCCTCTTTGTGTGTTAGTGGATGGGAGTAGAAGCCCAGAAGTTTCCACTTTTTTTTTGTGGAAGCCCAGAAGTTTCCAGCAGTGCATGCTTTGCATTGCTGGTTTTCGGTCCTGCAATGCTCTAGGTTGTGTGCCTGGTTGGCCTCCCCGGATCTGTCCCGTTTGTGTTTGTGCTTTAGGAACCTGGAATTGGAGGTGGAGGTGAACTCTGCGACTGATGACTCCAAGTAGTGTGGCTCTTAATCAGTAAGCTAGCATCAGGGAGCCTCTGGGGTTTATCCAGAAAATGGTGTTTCATTACATTCAATACCAATATTTTGACTACTATGCTTGTCAGTGATACAGTTCTATAATTAAGAGGGTCTTCCCTGCTACCATCTAAAATTTGCTTCTTAATTAACAGTGTGGTAACAACTTTACACATTAATAGTTAAAATCAGACAGAATTTTTTGTATGAAATTTTTATGCAACCTTAAAATATTTTAATATGTGAAGCTGAATGAATAATATGGAAAATATTGTACACAGTATATCAAGTAGAAAAGTGCTAAGGTGGAATGTTCTTACACAAGTTTTAAAGTTCCAAGGGCTTTTATCACAAATATGAAGATGGACAGCTGACAAAATGTTTAGGAGCATTTCTGTGTTTATACAGCCATTAAAGGAAGGAGAAGTTCCAATAAGAAATACTGTACTTAGGATATAGGTTATAAAAGGTTGGGGTACCCAGGTATTAAATACCATACTGCATAATCTGGTTGTAATAATGTAAACACACCAATTATATTTTCTAGATACACAAGTGCAGCTCAAGACCTCGTAATGGGCTCTCGAGGAAAGCTTCGAGAGCGAAATTGGCGTACGAGTAATGATAAACATGCGACTATAGATGATATTTCTGTTTTTGTCATTCCTCTCAAGCCCTACAAAGATGAGTACCAGGATTGGACTTCAAAACAAGAAGCAAATGTTGGTGATAATTTGAAATCTTCCACAAGATCCATCAACACTGCAGAAATAAAATGTGATGCAAGTGATCTAAAAGTGAATGTAGTTGCCTTAGACAAAAATTCAGTTGAAGAGGGAAGGCCTTTCCCCTCCATCATTCCAAATACTAGTGAATCTGTGAATCATGAGAAAGTCGTACTTGAATTCAAACCACAAGAAGATTATTTCAAAGATGAGGTTAACCAGGAAGCACAAGCAGAAAGAAAATTAGATGCTACTTAGAGGATCTGTTGGTTACTGTTGATCTGTAATGTTAGTTAGGACAGTCTTACTAGTCTTTGTATATTACTCTGCAGGGTTTAACTCTTTAGATGATGGTGATGCCCAAGGAGTTCACGTCTCATGTGATTTAGCAATGATACACAACAATATTTACACATTTGTTATTGGCTTTTTCAGGAGGTCAAAAGTGTCTTCATTTTTGCAGAGCACATTCTTTTACCAAAGCATTGTTGTATTATTTTAAATATTTATTTTGAAGTGTGTGATGGTTAAGCTTGGAGAAGTTTGTTTGAGTTAGGATTTACATTAAAGAAAGGGGGATTGGCTTTATGTATACTGTACAGTACTCTATAAATGTTTAAGGAAAGGCAACTGAGGAAAAGTTTTCAGAACAATAACAGTATCATTAATACTAAATGGGAACTATATCTAGCATTATAAATGTATATGTTAAGGGAACTCTAATGAATGAAAAACATGGTAGACTCTGTATATGCATTGGTGGAATATGATGTGAGCAATGTTATATTTTATATTGGGTAAAAGATTAAAGTAAAAAATTGTAAAAGCATTAAAATAATATGAATTTGAGGTGATGTTAATATTAAATTTCAGAATTGCTTAATTTTAATGTGGGATGTTAAAAGTACAAATAAAACATGCATTAAATTTCAAGTTATGGGCCACATCAATAAAATAGATTAGTGATTAACAGCATTAGATGTTGATTGAGGAGTACTGTACTCAAAGTACAGAACATAATTTTAACATTCCTTAAGCTTTGGAAATGTTTCAATTTAGAAACCCTAAAGCATTCAAGTATATATTTATTCTTAAGGCTTGTTTGGTAAAATTAAGCATTATAGCATTTTTTTCCATAGGTAACATGGTTAGGAGCTCAATCATCCTAAATATCTGAAGTATTTCTTATGAACACAACATCTTGTTTTATTAAAAATTTCACTAACCATACTCAGTCCTGGGAATATGCCTCCCAAATTGGGGTTAGCAAATCGGTGAGATTATGTCAAGTACTGTGTATCATATCATTCATATATTTGAATGAGTTTGGGAGGATATAAATAGGAGCTGCCATGCATGGGCCAATAGGCCTTCTGCAGTTTCCCTGATTTTTATGTTCTTATATCATGTATTTTATAATTAAAACAAAATCTGGATCTGGTGTAAATACCAAAATCTTTTCATTAGAAACAAAACCTGTTTTTCCTATTTCTGCTTTATGTAAATACCATCTTAATGTAACATAGTAGTTAATGAAGAATGCAGCTCTATTAATATTGGCATAATTAAGATGATTCTAACTGAAATGAAGTGTGCTTCCACAGTGAGAGGGTGTGTTAGCTGCAGCTCCGATTGTGTCTTGATACTACTAGTAATAATGGAAGGTATAGTGAGGGAGCTCTGAGGACAGAGTGGATTTGCTGCGGGAGGAGTTAAGGCTGATGAAACAACGTCAAGAGGAAGCAGAGGAGGAGAGCACCATTAGAAAGTCTCGGTTTTTAATGGACCTATCCTTTCCTTAAGGAACTTTCCTTCATCAAAAAGTGGTGTTCTCATGAATGCTCTTTATACATTCATCTACCCAAGAATTCAGAGAAACTTTTAAAAAATCTTAATTGAAAAATTCTTTATGATGCTTGGCTCTCTCTCAGTGGATGATGCCTTGACATGGCGAGGGGCTCTTGTGCGCTACCTGTGGGAAGGTTGGGGTGGCGCCTGCTCCCCTCTCCTGCTTGTTGTGCTTGTGCAAAATACAAGCAAAATACATCCATGTGTGGTTTACTGTGTATGAAGAACCCATGCATTCTCCAATATTCCTTTATTTGGTTGTTGAGCCTAACTAGTGTATACAGCCCTAGGGGAAAACACACTTATTTTGGTGGGGGTACCACATTTGACGGTGCTACATAGCCTCCCCAGCTTGGTGCCTTCTTTTGATAATTAATCACTTTGGTCGGGCTACAGGGTTAAAATGGGAGGGGTTCAATGTGGCCCACCTGAACCAATCTGCTCGTCTAGTTAGCTCACCTAGTTAGACATTAGGCCAAGTGGGCATTGTGGGGTTGGTATCCCTATTGGTCCCCTGGGATACTACTGTATTCGGCCCCTTCAATGGTGACCTCACATATACTGTCACTTACCTCTGCTCACCTATCAGTGACTACTGGGAAGTGAGATCTAGCTCTGTGTCCCACCACCTAGCCTTTGGCATGCTAATTACGTCTCAACATTGTTTTCATCATATTTATTTTTGTGGATGGAATTGGCATCTACAATCTCTTCCTTGACATGCAGTTTCATAACTACGATGGATATTATGCTTGAGGGCTATTTTATAGAGAAATATAAGATGATTGCATACATTTTGAAGTTTCAAATTGAGTAATTTTATAAAGAAGTAAACAAAATGGAGAAATGTTGCATTTTGCTCATTTTGATTTGCAGTTTTCAAAATATGATGCCTATCGGAAATATGACTCTCGAGCGGAATTCAGGGTGATTGCACATACTGTGCTTAGTTTTAAATTACAACTTTTTATACCAAAAATATGCAATTTAGTGAAAAAGCAGATTGGTCAGATTTTGCCCAAAGTTTGCCCAATTTTTGAACAAAGTTGGTTCAAGCCTGGGGCCAGATTCACGAAAGCACTTACGAACATGTTCATCTTTTCTCAATATTTGGCGGCTTTGTTTTCAATTATTAAACAGTTAATGAGCTCCGAAGCACCAGGAGGCTGTTTATAACAATAACAACAGTTGATTGGGAAGTTTTCATGCTCGCAAATTGATTAATAAATGTAAACAAAGCCGTCAAAGATTGAGGAAAGATGTACACGTTCGTAAGTGCTTTCGTGAATCTGGCCCCTGGCCTCAGACCGGGCTTGGAGAGTAGAACTTCCGAAACCCTCTCCCAGATATACTCCAGGATCCATTGTGAAACAAATTAATGGAACAGAGCATATGAGAGTGTTGATAAATGCCACATACATTTTATAAATTAAGAAAGCATATAAGAAAGTGAATGGTCTTTCTCTGGAGAGTAATGAGCATATATGGAGTTTGGAATGTTGTTATATGCTGTGGAGAGTTCTTATTGTTAATAGTGCATTGAGTAGCTGTTCCAATAATATTACCAGAATTATCCATGGTGGTTCAATGAATATATGCATGGGGGTCATAAGGAAGGTCAGTTTGAGAATAAAAAGTGTTAATTTAGTATATTACAGGAATGAGATGTGATTGAGGTGTTTGTACTTGTGTACATCAGTAAAACTTGCACCTGATCGACAATTGCCTTTCTCAAAAGAACTTTTTTTTTTTTTTACAGTCTTGTAAAGCCACTAGCACGCGCAGCGTTTCGGGCAGGTCCTTAATCTAAGAAAATTTTAAGGAGGTAAATACTTGCAAAATTATAGACAAAAAATGATAACAGATTACATGAAATGAAAAAAAAGATGAGAGAAAATTGTAGGTACAGTATATTAAAGCACATAGGTAGCTAAGATTGATTGCAATGACAGCTTGAATGGTAGTTGACAAAAAAATTGGTAGGCATAATACAGCAGAAACAATATAAGATTGGTTGCAATGACAGCTTGAATGGTAGTTGACAAAAATTGGTAGTCACAATACAGCATATGGCTAGCACATAAAAGAAGACAGCAATGAACACAATGATAAGGTTGTTTGAAATTACATAAAAATTAGGAGATTGGGTAACACTAGGTACAGAGCAAATTTAAAGCTCAGTGTAGGAAAACTAAGAAGATGAAGTTAGGTACTTTTTGGTTTTGCTTTTAAATAAGGCAAAAGTTTTACAGTTTTTCAATTCACTAGGGAGTGAGTTCCATAAACTAGGTCCCTTAATTTGCACAGAGTGTTTACACAGATTAAGTTTGACCCTGGGGATATCAAAGAGATATTTATTTCTGGTGTGGTGATAATGGGTCCTATTACATCTGTCCAGGGAGAGTTTCAGAGCATGGTTTGCATTTAAGAACAGGGTTTTGTAAATGTAGTTGACACAAGAGAATGTGTGGAGGGAGTTAATATTTAGCAAGTTTAGGGATTTAAACAAGGGAGCTGAGTGTTGTCTGAAAGCTGAGTTAGTTATCATTCTGAGAGCAGATTTTTGCTGTGTGATGATGGGCTTAAGGTGGTTTGCAGTGGTAGACCCCCATGCACAGATACCATAATTAAGATAGGGGTAAATTAGTGCATAATATAGTGAGAGGAGAGCAGAGTTAGGAACATAATATCTGATTTTGGAGAGTATACCAACTGTCTTAGAGACTTTCTTAGTTATGTGTTGAATGTGGGTGCTGAAGTTGAGTCTCTTGTCTAGGAATAGGCCAAGAAACTTGCCATCATCTTTATTACTGATGTTAATGTTGTCTATCTGTAGCTGAATTGCATTTGATGATTTGCTTCCAAATAAGATGTAGTAAGTCTTTTCGATGTTTAATGTTAGTTTGTTCGTTGACATCCATAAGTGGACTTTTTTTAATTCATTATTCACAACATTATTTAGTGTATGTGGGTTGAGGTTTGAATAGATAAGAGTAGTATCGTCAGCAAACAGTATAGGTTTGAGAATAATAGAGACATTAGGCAGATCGTTTATATATATAAGAAATAGAAGAGGTCCTAAGATGCTGCCCTGTGGCACTCCAACGGTAATTGGTAGAGTGGACGAAGTTGTATCATTGATGGTTACATATTGGTGTCTGTCACTAAGATAGGATCGGATGTAGTCAAGGGCAAGGCCTCGGATTCCATAATGCTGGAGTTTAAGTAAGAGGTAGTTGTGATTAACAGTATCAAAGGCTTTTCTTAGGTCAATGAAGAGTCCAATTGGAAACTCATTTTTGTCAAGGGCTGAGTAGATAACGTCAAGGAGACTAATGATTGCATCGTTGGTGCTCTTTTGGGACCGGAAGCCAAACTGGCAGGGGCTGAGTATGTCGAATTTTACGAGGTAGGAATAGAGCTGTTTGTAAATAATTTTTTCAAATATTTTTGATAGAATGGGTAGATTTGATATTGGTCTATAATTGTTTATGTCCGCCGGATTGCCTTCTTTATGGACTGGCGTTACTCTTGCTTTTTTGAGGATATCAGGGAAGGTGTGACACTCTATAGATTTGTTGAACAGTAGTGCTATGGGTGGGGCAAGGGCATGGGAGGCTCTCTTGTACACAATGGACAGAATTTCACTGGTGTTCCCTGCCTTGGTTTTTAGAGAGTGTATGATGGACACAACATCTGCCGGGCTGATTTGTGAAAGGAGAAGAGAGTTTGGATAGCTGCCTGAGAGATATGTGTTAATATGTGTCTGAGTCTGTGGGATTTTACTGGCAAGATTAGCACCAACCGATGAAAAGAAACTATTAAATTCATTTGCCATTTCTAAATCAGTTGACGGTATATCCCCATCCTTGTAGAGTTTTATTTGGTTATGTGAGTGTTGCTTAGTTCCTAGGATACTAGAGATAGTTTTCCAAGTGTTTTTCATGTTGCCTTTTGCTTCATTGAATCTATTCACATAATATGCAAGTTTTGCCTTTCTTATGATACTGGTAAGCATTGATGAGTACCTTTTAGCTACTTCCTTTGAAACTAGGCCAATCCTAACTTTCTTTTCATATTCATGTTTCTTGTTGATTGAGTTGAGAATGCCACTTGTGAGCCATGGATTGTTTAATCTTTTGTCAGTTACTTGCTTTGTAAGAAGGGGACAATGAAGGTTGTAGAGGCTTAGAGTTTTGGAGAGGAAGAGGTTAGCTAATGAATTTATATCATGGGTATTATTGAATTCAGAATCCCAGTTAATATTGTGAAGTGCCTCTGTAAGATTGTCTAAAGCTGATTCACTGTGTAGCCTAAATGAAAGTTTCTTGCTTTTTGGTGGTGTTATGTCCATATTCGCTATGAGAAAGGTAGGATAGTGGTCAGTTGTTCTGTCGTAGATTATACCAGATACAAGGGGAGCTGTTATGTTTGTCCATATGTGGTCCAAGGTAGTGGCTGATGTTTGAGTGACTCGGGTAGGTTTGGTGATAGTGGGGATTAGCATACAGGAGTTCATGCTGTTCAGGAAATAGTCAACTTGAGAGCAATTTTGTTGACCCAGGTCAATATTAAAGTCTCCTCCCAGAATGATGTGGTTTTTGTTGAGATTGTTGTTTATAATAAGATTCCTTAGGTTGTCTGAGAAAGAAGCTATGTTAGTATTAGGAAATCTATAGATGGCTCCAATAGTCAAAGAGGATTTAAGGGATTTAATTGTAAACTGAGCAAAAGTATATTCACAGTAGTCATCTCTGTCACTAATAACACTGTTGCAGATAAATGTATCTCGGTAATATATAGCTGTGCCACCACCTTTTTTATTAGGCCTACAGTTATGAATGGCTTTATAACCAGCTAAGTTGTAGAGTTGGGTATACAGTAGTCTTTATTTAGCCAAGTTTCTGTTAAAATAATGAACGATAGGTTAGTACCTAGTGCTGTGAGTAGTGCATTTAAATCGTCAAAATGTTTACCAAGTGATCTAACATTTTGGTTATAAACTGATAGACAGGTGCTATTTTGGAGTTTGTTTTTAGCCTGGTGTGCTGTGAAATACTTGCAATAATGATGATCAATGTGCTGGTTGGTATAGATATGAGACAGAAGATTTTGATCAGGATCAATATCAGTGTGCATAGAGATGCAGAGGGATCACGATACAAGATACACGATAAAGCAAAACACAAGAATAAGAGCAGATACAATAAAATAGTAACAATTTAGAAGTAAAATAAAGATCCAATAGATAGCCAGGGAGGACACAGAAGTTACATAAAATAAAACACAAAAAATCAATAGAGACTGACAATATAAATGTAAAATAAAAAATAATAAGAAAAATAATAATCATAAAAAAAATGATCTTGAAGATAATTAGCTTAGTAATGGTTAATTAACAGGGTAATAAAAAGCCCTAGGTTTAGTGACAAGGGGATTAACTAAGAACAAATAATTAAGAGTATAAAACAGGCAAAGATGACAAACAAAAAATAAAGTAAAAATTAAAATAAATGGTCACTGCTTGATCGCAAGCGGGGATTTTTCTGGCGGGGGAGAAAGAAACAATTGCGCAGCGCGTCCCGCGGCGTTGCGCAGGCAGTTTGGGGCCGTATAAATACGGGCGCACAATGGGGCTCTGCCTCACTCCGCCTGCCCTCGCCGCTGCCCTCGCAACCACTCCCCGGCCGCCCGACTTCGCACGAGATGGACAACACGCCAGCTGCCTCGGTACCTGACCTCTCTCTCACGGACATCCTGGGGCCCTCGACACCCCAGACTGTTCCGGCAGGGCCCTCCTGCCCTACACTATTAAACCCAAGGTGAGGTTTTCTGTTCAATTCTAGTCAGGTCTTCCCCAGTGCGGCGTGTGCCATGCGCCATCCCCTCGCGGTACGTGTGTGCCGCCTTAGTTAGTCCTTTGGGCTCTCTGCTGTTAGTTCCCGGAGAGCTGGGGCGCCCTCCTTGGGCCTGTGCCGGGCGCCCCCGTGCCGTGCTGGTCGCGTGGCTGGCTTAGGGTCGGCGTGCCCCGGGCCGCGTCCCTAGTGGCCTGCGTTCGGTCTCCTCTCTTCTGGGGCCCCGTCCAGCCATGCCCGTCCGTGTCCAAGGGGCCCCGCAGCGCGGCGTGCCCAGGCGCGCGCCCTGCCCGGGGCCCCGTCGGCGGCCAGGCGTGCCCTTGCCGGCGTAGCCATGTGGCCAGGCGTGGTGGGCTCTACGCACTTTGTGCTCTGCCTTGGGGCCCTTCCCTCGCCGCCATCGACCACGTGTCTGGTCGTCTGGGCGTGCTTCGGCGTCCTTCCCGCCTTTCCTTCGGGGCTCCCTGTCGCCGGCCCGCCGGGTTTCCCTGGGTGTCTCAGGGGGCCAGGCTTCGCCTTGTCCGAGGACATGTGTCGCCGTCGGCGACGGATTGTGGCCAGGTTCGGTCCTACGCCCGGGGCGCATGTTCTCGGCGGCGGCGACACGTGGCCAGGCGTGGGCGGCCCTATGGCGGGCCCCGCCTTGGGGCCCATGCATGCCTTGCCGGGTCGTCACGTGCCTGGCCGGCAGGGCGTGCTTCTGCGTCTTTCCTGTTTTTCCCTCGGGTGTTCCCTGTTGCCGGTCTGCCGGCTTCCCTGGGATGTCCCCAGGGGTCGGGTCTCCCTGAGCGGACAAGCGTCGCCCCTGGCGACGACTCGTGGCCAGGTCCAGCCCTCCGCCAGGGCCTGCTACGGGGCACGCGCCTGGTCATGCTGCCACGTGGCACGGCGTTCCGTGGCGCGCACGGTTGGGCTGTGTCCCGCCCTTCCTGTTCCCTTTTGGGTGCTAATCCACGTGGCTTTGCGCCACAGCTTCCCACGTCGGGGCTCGGGCTGCCTTGCGCCCGTACGGCCGCGCCTGTGTGCGGCCCCCCCCCACTCCCCTTTTCGTCTAGGCCCTGCTGAGCATGCCGTGTGGCAGCGCGTGGTTGGTAGGCCACGGGGTCCTTGCCGTGTGTGGTGTGTTCTCTGCTAGGCACGTCGCCCTCGGACGTCTCGCCCGGCCGTGTTGCCCGGGGTGTTAGCCCCAGGCCCTTCGGTGTCCCGGAGTCCCCAGGTACGTCTTCCCCAGAGTGGCGCCGATCAAGATGTCCCCAGACGTCCGTCGGCCGGTGTAAGTCCGGCATGTAGTCCCCAGACGTACGTCTGGCCGGTGTTGCCCGGTGTGTTATTTCAAGCTTTCCGCCGTCCAGGCCCTCAGGCACGTGCCCTGCTTGCCTGGGGGGTAGCCAGGACCGTTACTCCATGTCCTCCGTCTGGCCGGTGTTGCCGGCAGGTTGGTTCCCAGGCGCTCCCGCCTGGCCAGTGTAGCCTGGTGTGTTTGTCTTAAGCGCCCTGCACGTCCGTTGTAGCAGGGATTCCTCCTACGTCGTAAGTTCAGCGTTCGTCCGCCTGCCCGTCCGCCTGTGTCGTCTGTTGTTCTTCTTCGTCGGAGGGAGACGCCGGCGTTGGAGCAAGGACCCGAGATCAGCTCGACGACGACGGCAGGTTTACGTCTAACGGTACGCACCACAGGCCCTGGGTTCGGCGTTGCCGCCGGCAATCCAGGATGACTTCGTTATGTCCGTTAAGTCCTCGGCGGCCAGTTCCAGGGGCCGTGCCCTGGACAGGGGGGTGGCCCCCATGTTGCCTGGGGCACGGTATCCTCCAGCAGATGGCGGCGTCGAGGCGTCGTCGGGAACGTCGTATATTTAATGATTCTCATTCGTTGCCTTCCTAAGACACTGTAAATTAAGACTTTCTCACACTTGGTGTGAGAAAATATGGAAGGTTTCTTATTTTGTACTAGCAGACATCTCGCGACATGCCTTGCCCTTATTCATATTTATGTTCTACATTTCAGCACTGACATGCCTCTGCTTCCAGATCACCTCGGATTCACTTTGCCACTACCCTAACTTTTTACTCAGGCATTCGTAGCCTTGTGCATGTCGCACGTTCAAATCTTCGCGTTCGTTGTGTTACAGTATGCTTGTTCACTTTTCCTTGTCTTACGTCATTAAGTAAAGTCAGCCAGGATGTCCTATTTGCAGAGTTATAAGTAATTTATTAAGTAAAGTCAGCCAGGAGGTGCTATTTGCAGTATTTGCGGGCCCTTAATTTGCTTTACGTTCCCTGGCCCTGCATTTTGCCTAGTTTCCTCAGTAGTTACAGTACTTTCGCTTGGCTCTTGCAGTTTATTCACGTCGCTTATTTGGTTATATTTATGTTATGCATCTCCTCCGTTCTCTTAATGTAAAATGGCTATATATCCACGCCGATTGTATACCCTTATTTTGTACTTGCAGATACCACGTGCCATGCCTTGCCCTATTCATAATTATGTTCTACATCTCAGCGCTAACATGCCTCCTGTTTCAGGTTACCTCGGACTCTCTTTCCCAAACAGCCTCCTTAATTTACTCCAACAGTTGATGCGTTGCTCATGTCGCATGTTTAATTTTGCATTGCTGTGTTCAGTATGCTTGCCCACTTTTACCCTGCCTTACGTCATTAAGTAAAGACAGCCAGGATGTGCTATTTGCAGAGTTACCAAGTAATTTATTAAGTAAAGTCAGACAGGCAGTGCTAGTTGCAGAGTTACTAAGTAAATTATTAAGTAAAGTCAGCCAGGATGTGCTATTTGCAGAGTTCCTAAGATTTATTAAGTAAAGTCAGACAGGATGTGCTATTTGCAGTATTCGCGGGCCCTTATTTTAGCTTCACGTCGCCTGGCCCTGCATTTTTGCCTAGTTTCATCGGTAGTTACAGTAGTTTATGCTTAGCTTTGCAGTTTGGTTTCCTCTGGTTACAGAATTTACGCTTGGCTCTTGCAGTTTATTCACGTTACTTATTTGGTTATATTTATGTTATGCTTCACCTCCGTTCTATTAATGTAAAAATGGTTATATATGCACGCCGATTGTATACCCTTATTTTGTACCTGCAGATATCACGTGCCATGCCTCGCCCCTATTCAGGGGCCGGATTCAGGAAGGTACTTACGAAGGTTTTTCCTCTTAGCTAAGAGCGTTTTCAGTCTTAGCGCCTTCGTGGCGGCTACGTCCGTATTCAATTAACTACCCTAAGTGGAAAAATCTTCGTAAGTTCATTTCGGGATTTAAGTGTGGTTTCGACCACTCGTAGCTTTACGTAAACTGGATATAAGTCATTTTTTTCTCTACTACATAACACTGGGATCGATTTATGATATTGGAACATGACCAAAACATTATAGCTGGTGAATCTAGTGAAGAGGAATCCTTCGTGTTAGTTATATATGCATTCTCTGCTTGAAACTTGAAGTAAATATGTGTTTGATGATAATAGAATTAGTTTTATAATAGCAAGATATTATACCAGTAGTTATTAAGTAAATAAACACTGGTGAACATGAAAAATGAGAGAAGGTGATGAGACCTGCCTGATGTGATCATTTACTATCACCAAATGCCCCTGTTCACCTAGTAATCAGTAAGGGTGTACCTTAGCTATACATATACAGTTTTAATTTATTTTGTTTGGTTTTATTTTGAAATTAAATGTGGGTGAGACATAAAAGAAAAACATCCTGAACAAATGATGTTAGGTTAGGGTAAAAACTACAAAAACTTTGGTCATTGAATACTTAGGCCTCTAATTATGGCCTGTTAAAAAAAAGAGAGGGATGGGGACTGAATAGGGACAAGGGGCTGATGGAAGAAAGGTGGCAGGATAAATAGACAATCATGGGCACCACACTGTACACCCCCAAATATGTATGTACAGTATGTGTGTGTATATATATATTTCATCTTACAGGCTGTATTACAATATGCTTTATTTTTCCTAGGTACCCAATACTGTATAGTGTTCCTGGACATGCATCCAAAAAATACCAATTTTAACAGTTAAAAACATTTGAAATGTTATTGCTTATTGCTTTACGTAATGAGCTAGCTTTAAGGAGAGAAAGAGTCTTTAAAGATCGTCTAAATCCATTAGATGTAAGTGATAAAAAATTGTTAAGGTACTATCGTTTTCCACGTCATATGATCTTAAGACTTTGTGAAGACCTTAAAGATGATATTGAAAGAATAACTAGAAGAGGTCAAGCCATTCCTGCCCATACATCATTGTTAGTAGCTCTGAGATTTTATGCAAGTGGAAGTTTCCAAAGTGTTATTGGAGATTCAACTGGTCTCAGTCAATCGAGTGTATCAAGAATAATAACTGGAGTGACGGAAGCTCTCTACAGAAAAGGACTAGCAGAAATAAAAATGCCAACAGAGATGAATGAAATTATACAAACTAAGTTAAAATTTAATAATATCAGTAGGTTTCCCAATGTAATTGGAGCAATCGATTGTACCCATGTCCCCATTAAAGCTCCAAAAGTTGAAAAAAACATATATGTAAATAGAAAACAATATCACTCTTTGAACATTCAAGTTGTGTCAAATCCTGATAATGTAATCATGGATTTCTGTGCAAGATACTCTGGAAGCACTCATGATGCTTTCATATGGGCTAACAGCAGACACCATGACAGATTTGAAGCAGGATAATTTGGCATTTCCTATTTGCTAGCTAAGATATGCATTTTATATATATGACCTTCATTTATAGTACAGTAGGTTGCCTATTTGTTATTTATCGAGTCACAGCAAATACACTGTACAGTCTATAAATAAAAGTTGTTTAATATTGAATGGTAACAGCTTATTGTATTATGAATAGTATAAAGAAATTTATTCATGTTGATTTTATATTAAAGAAATGAAAGTGTGTTTTAGCCCTGATATGGAGAATGAGAGTGAGAATTTTGAATGGAAATCAGCAGAAATGTGTTTATGGGTGTTTATGGGTGGGTGTTTATCATGTGTCATGGGTGTACCAGAGATTACAAGTGGATGATTAAGTTAAATATGGAAGGAAGTGGATTACATTTTGGTTGTTTTGACATGTCAGTTATATGCCTCTGAACATTAAATGAGAATGATGTATGTAATGCAAGAGGTATTCATATGACAGAGGAAGGTAACCAACCACTTCAGATGCTAGAATCAAATAGTGTGTGAAAGACAGTGTGGGTTTAGGATTATTGAGTGATTTTTAAAGATGTATGCACATTTTATAAATTAAATATCTATGCAGGTGACAGTGGCTATCCCTTGCAACACAACTTACTTACACCCTTCACAAACCCTGAAAACCCTCCAGAAGAGCTGTATAACAGGAGCCATGCAAGAACAAGAGTGGTAATCGAGAAAACTTTTGGCGTGTTAAAATCTCGGTTTAGGTGTCTCCACAGGTCTGGTGGTAGTCTTCAATATGAACCAGATAAATGTGCAAAGATTTCAGTTGCATGTATGTTGTTGCACAATTATTGCATTGAGCAAAGAATACCTCTTGAAGAGATCATTGATGATGACTTTATAATGAATGAATATGTTGAAGGTGGAGCACATGAAAATGGGCACACACAAAGAAGGGAAGTAGTAAGGAATTTTTTCTCATAAATTTTTATTTCAAATCATACTTATATAACAAAGTAAAACATGTAATTGAAAACACTACATAATGGAACTTTTGTATAAAAATACAAGTACAGTAACTCAAGAATTTATCAATAACGGAAATCAAAAACATTTATAATTGGATTCATAGATTTATTTGTAAGTTATCCTATCAATTTTTACCTATTAAATTCAATAGAACATACTGTATATGTAAGTGAAACATAAATATACAAACAAACTGTTACAAACATGTACCTGCTTATTTGGAAATATTATTTATGCTGCTATACTTTATATGGAAAGTCAGATACCTGAGGAGAAATATATGCATCTGACAAAAGACCAAAAATTTGTGTGAAAAATATATCAGTAAATATTTATTCATAGACACTAAGAAATGTGGTACATAATATGGCTGGGTAAATTTTTGGTTTGTAAAATAACAGTGTTTGTTAGCCAATGCTGTGTATACACAGCATTGGCCTTAAAATTGAATTATTTTAATTATAAAATAAAGTTGCTTTCAATACAGTCCAGTGTTTAATATACCTTACATGTAAGGTAAAAATTTAATATAATTTTGTTTAAATGATATACACAAAACAATGATGTAGGCCATCAATATGTTGCCCTTAGACCAATTTGAGGTGAAACATATATTAGGGATGTGATAAAATAATTATATCTTTGCCATTAATCTTTTTGCCAATAAAAATGTTTCTTATTCTGGTGTTTTTTTCATATTGTCACTACTTTGAACTCTCAACAATTAAACCTAGCAATTGATAAACATTCTTTAATACAAAAAACATGTAAATATTTACACCAAACATAAGTTGACTATATGAGGTAGATTGGTTATTAAATTACACTATATACTATGCAAGTCATAGCAAAATTAATGATGAATAATTGTTACATTTTAATGTTTCAATATTGTTCTTATTTACAATTGTTATTACAAAATATTATAATTTCTTAAACTATTTTTAGAGATTATAATTAGAAAGATTTAAATAAATTTCATAGTGCCTGATTATTTTTCATACATTCTAGCAACTCCCATATACCTTTGGATATATCATTGAGGGATTTGTTTAAGTCCTGTACTTCTTTAACCACCTCCTTTAAGGACTTGACTGAAGATTTAAGATCCTGAAATTTCTTGCGAACATCGGCTTGTTGTCTTGAGCAGAGACCAACACCACTTACAGCAACAGCTACTTGGCTCCTTCTTCTTCTTGATAGTAGGTGCAGTTTGCATGAAGGGTTTGTCCTCCCGATGACTGCACCAGTACAGATGTTGGTAGAGGCGTTTATGTTGAAGATGATAAGAGTTTCAAAAGTGCTTGTTGCGTTGTGCTGTAGACAGAGGAGCGGCGACTAAAACAGAGGTGGATGTTAGAGGGAGACTTGCCGCACCGTAGGGCGGTGTGTTGTGTTTATGGCGTCAGCTGATCCTTGGTGTTGCGACGAGGCAGTTGTTTTCTGTGTTTAGCTGTTGGTGGCGCCAGGTATAAATGTGGCGCAGGTCAGATGTGACCCAATTTGTTGGTCGATTGGAGATATTTAGCCAGTGCTTTGACTATTTGGTATTTTTCTTGTAACGAGTGGTCACCGCCTCCTAATATATGCTCGATGGTGAAGGGTATTTTAAGTGAGATAAGTTCTTGTTTGAAATTTACTCTGGCACTATAGTGTCGGAAGCAATGTAGGAGATAGTGTTCGATTGTTTCAGGCACCTGACAGTGGATGCAGAGTTCGTTGATGTCTGTTCTGTACTTAGAGCTGTGTGCTGCTAGTTTGGTGTGTCCCAGCCTTAATCTGGTCATCGCTATATCAATTTCTCTGCTTTTATATCTGACATGTTTCCAAGTTTCCCACTTCTTTTTAATGGACCCGTAGTACAAAGGTGAGCATGACGTTTTCCATTTCGTCGCAAAATCTTGGGTGATGGTATTTTTGAAGGCTCCTTTACGTGCAACATGGGGAATTGGATGACGGGTAATGTGAGGTGTGTTGTGCATTGCTTTGGCTAGTTGATCTACTAGTTCATTATGGAGAATACCACAATGCGCTGGGACCCATTGGATAGAGGTATCATAACCGTTCAATCGATGTTCATGAAGAAGTTGAAGACATGGGTAAACAAACTCCTTGCACGTTTTTGAAGAGTACGTAATTGCTTGAATCGCACTCTTGGAGTCACTGCAGATTGTATATGTCCCGACTGGTAATGTTGTGATTATTTGGAGAGCTTGATATAAGGCATATAATTCAGCTGTGAAAACAGATAGTTGGTTTGGTAACCGCCATCCCTGCTTGAGATGGTATTTCGGTATCCATACAGCGCTAGTGACCGAGGGTACGTTGTTCTTGATGATGCGAGATCCATCTGTATAAATCGCTGTGGTATTTGGGTAGCAATTTTTCATTGTTGAGAGAAAGACTGAGGCTATGGCTGAGTTTGGTGCAGACTTTGGAATGTTGTCTTCGAGTTGTATTGCTGTATTAGGAGTTGTATAAAGCCAGGGTGGAATAGGGGGAACAGTAAGTTGGGTTTCCGAGTTTTGGAGTAGAGAGAGGTCTATATTGAGGTTATTTGTAGCCCGTGTGAGGAAAGGTTGTGAGTGATTGGTTGGGAAGCGGGGGTTATGTGGGTTAACTGTTGGGTTAATTTTTGATCTGTATGGGTGTGTCTGGTGAGCAGTGGTACAGAGTGACAGATAGTTGGCACACATTATGTCTCGTCTGGTGGCTAGGCTTGTGAGGCCCGTTTCCCCGTAAAGTCCGAGGATAGGAGTGGAACGCATTGCGCCACATATAAGTCGCATGGCATTGTTTTGGATGACCTCTAGGCTCTGTAGGTTAGTAGGCGCAGCCGATGCATATGCTTGGCAACAATAGTCTACTTGGCTGCGAATGTAGGTTGTATAGAAACGGAGCAGGATTTTATGGTGTGCTCCCCAGGTGGTGCCAGTGAGGGCTTTCAGTATGGCGAGTCGGGGTTGTGTCGTCTGTTTAAGGTGTTGAATGTGTGCTGTCCAGGTAAGTGAGGGCGAGTCTAAGTGCATGCCAAGGTATTTATGTTCTCGTACGTGTTGGATGGGAGTGTTGTGTATTGTGAGGGTGGGTAGATGAACGAGTCTTTTTTTAGTGAAAATTTGATAATAGGTTTTGGTAGTACTAACTTGAAGGCCCCATTGTTGTGTCCAATCTATGAGGTGATCAAGTGCTGTTTGCATGGTTGAGACTGTATTAGGTAAGGCGTTGTCTGAGTAATACAGTGTTAAGTCGTCGGCGTACGCCGAGAGGTTAACAGGATGGGTGTTAGGCAAATCTGCTAAGAATGCAGCAAAAAGGGTTGGGCTTAGTATGGAGCCTTGTGGGACACCCGTTTGTATTGGGATGTCATCGGAAAACTCGCCTTGTATATAGACTTTAGAGGTCCTGTTCGTAAGATAAGATTTTAACCATAAAAGTAATCTTCCCTGTACGCCTAAACGTGCAAGCTTTGCGAGGAGGCAAGTATGAGGAATGCTATCAAAAGCTCCTTTGAGGTCTAAGTAGACAACAAGGCAATATTTACTGCTTCTGAGAGAGGTGCGGATTTCATGTTCAAGGCAAAGTATTTGATCGAGTGTGGAGCATTGCGGTCGAAATCCAGCTTGGAGTGACGGTATAATATTATTATATTCTAGATACCATTGGAGGCGAGTATGTACTAGTCTTTCCATGACTTTACTGAGAGTTTATCTTGGGTAGTGACTTGTCTTGATAGCTTCCCAAAAATTATGCGTTCTCTCTTCTTAACCTCATCAACGAGAACTGTCAGCTCCTCTTCACTGAAGTTTGCTTTCCTTTTTATCCCAGACATTTTCTTTGTCTTATTTATTTATGAATACTAAGAGGATGTAGTATGTTTGTTTTGGTTCTTGATAGTAGGTGTAGTTTGCGTGAAGTGTCTATTCTCTCGATGACTGCACGAGTACAAATGTTGGGAGACGCGTTAATGTTGAGAATGACTAGGTTTCAAAAGTCTTGTACTGTAGATAAAGTGAATAAACAGAGGCGTGTTAGAGGGAGACGCCGCACTGTAGGACGGGGTGGTTTCGTGCTGGCGTCAGCTAAACATAAGAACGGAAACTGGTCGCGTAAATGGAAATGGTTGGGTACATTTCCTTTCACCTACCTAATGCGAATATTCATGTGTTCGGACACTGGCGATGGTGTGGTATTGCCTATTTATTTGACCATATCTTTGCTTTCATTTAAGATATGTTTTCCTTGAAATGTATTTACATTATCGTCTACATCTGTCTTTATTCTGAAATAAAAACCTTTGACGTTACTTTGCATATATGTATATTAATTATAAAATTGATTGGCTTGTGTGCAGGCCTTCACACTCCCTGAGCGAGCCATCAAGTAACTATAAAAAGGCATATATCTTCACTTTCACTTCAGTTATATTTATACCAAAGTATTAACATGCAGCTTATATGTCTTTCTGATGACATAAAAAACTTCGTTTTTTATAATATATAGATTCAATTAACATTGATTTTCAAAAGGTCATAGTTCCCATCGAAAGGGAGAGCGTCGGCCAAGAAGCCTTGTTTAAAATATGAATATTTTTCCTCTCTAATAAGGTATAATCTCTGTGATGCATTAACACAAACTATTTTATATCTGCCTTTCTGATAACATTATATAAATATAATCTTTATTTGTGAATATTTGTTAATTAAGCAATATATCAGAGAGCGTGTAGGGTTCGGTGTTCTATGAACGAAAAGGACTGGAGTTCAAGTTCAAGTATGTTTATTGAGATAAGCAATAAATACATCTCAAAGGGATAGAGTAGCTTAGGCTATTTCTACCCCCCTCTACTTCAAGTCCCTCAAGGGGCGCACAAATTCAGTGAGTACAAATAGACATATAGCAGTACAAACACCCCGGTGTTTGCCGGGGTGCTTGGGGAGTGCAAGGAGGAGCTTTGTGACCCGCTGTCAACCATATTTGGTGGATCGGTGGAGTCGGGCAGAGTGCCGGAGTTTTGGAGGGTTGCTAGTGTGGTGCCGGTTTTTGGGAAAGGAGATAGATCACTTGCGTCTAACTATCGACCAATTGGCCTGGCGTCTGTTGTGGGAAAGTTGCTCGAATCTGTAATAGCAAATGGGATTCGTCTTCATCTTGAAAAACATAAGTTGGTAATTGAGTCGCAGCATGGTTTTATAAGTGGCCGTTCGTGTTTAACAAATTTGTTATCTTTTTGTTCTAGCATTGTTGAGTCAGTTGGTGGTGGTGGGGATTGCGATGTTGTGTGCCTTGACTTTGGCAGGGCTTTTGATGCAGTGCCACATGAGAGACTGATTGGGGGGATGGAGTCTCGTGGTATTGGGGGTGCTATATTGAGCTGGATTGGGGCGTGGCTGTACCAGGGGAGACGGAGAGTTGGTATAGGTGGAGTCGGGTCAGAGTGGGAGGGTGTTGTGGGTGGAGTGCCTCGGGGCTCTGTCCTGGGACCT